AGTACCAGTAAGAAAAGAACAAAACCCCAATAGGAAGGGGAGGAAATATCTGAACAATCACAGAACAGGGAAACCAAATGATCAATGAATGTGAAAGGATAATCAAACTCACCAGTAATCAGGAAAAGTATAAAATGAAGCAATAATATACCACTTATCACAAATTACAATTTAGTAAGACTGTAAGCCAGGATATTGAGAAGGAATTTGAGTAAGCTGCACTTTAAATTGGCACCAAACCTCTTGCATAGTTGGCAATAGATTTGAAAACAACTAGTCTGTGGTCTGTGAGTCAGCACTGCTATTTCTAGGAATATCTTTTAGAAAAAATGCGCTTACTTATACAGGGCTATAGATAGCTGTGTTTTTTAATGGTAATAACTGCTTCTAAAGAGCATTCAGATTAATCAAACAATTCATCAGATTGGTAAAGGAGAAAAAATAAACTGTGGTACTGTTAATGGTGAAATCTATGCAACAGTTAGTATCTATATGTATCAAGCTGGGCACAGAAAATGACTGAAAAAGGCATCCCGTGGGACATTATTATTATTCATAGCCCTATCCTGTAGTATTTTTAACTATTAAACCAATATCATATGCTATTAAAATTTATAAATACATAAATCATGAAATAAAAGTAAAGTAAAAAGTAAAGGCCCTCCCGTTGATCATCGATTTGCTGGAGCAGGCCCAGTAACGTCTCCATTGGAGACTTTGTTGTTACTGTGTCTGGCATATCGAATACGTCACGGGGGGCTTGCCAGGCTCTGCCGTGCAGGCGAGATACTCTCGGTAGCTTGCCGGGCTCTCCAAGAGGGGCGGAGGAATCGAACTCGGGTCGGCCATGTTGGCTGCGTGCAAGGCAAACGCCCTACCACTATGCTATAAACTTCAAAATTTTTATTATAGTTGCCTCTCTGCAGGAAGGATGAATAAGTGTCCATACGAGACTTCAACTTCTTAAGTGCTATTTTGATTTCCACAAAAGATGAAAAAAAGTGAAATAAAATGTTAATATTTCACTTTTGAACAGGGAAGTTTACTGAGTTTTGACTTGTCATTCTTTGCACTTGTTGATTTTTTTTAAAAATCCAAATATTAACTAGTAAGATCAGGCTATTTCTGAAGAGAAAAAAGATACCAAAGACAATCCTTTACAACTGTGAGTGCAATGATGGGTGTAGGTACTCTGAAGAGCTTGTTTAACAACTGCAGACTTAATATTTACATTTTGAATATTATACAGACCCAGGGACAACCCCCAAGAACTTAGTATGTTTGCCTCAAAGAAAAAATGGTGGTTTTTCCTTTGGTTTTTGGGTTACACCCAGTGGTGCTCAGGGATCAATCACTGATGGAGTTCAGGGGACCATATGAGGTACTGGGGATTGAATTTAGATTTGCAGCATGCAAGGCCTTGCTCATTGTACTGTCTGGCCCAGCCCTCACGAAAAATTAAAAGAACCTGGGGAAAGGAACAAATGACAGAATTAGATATAAAAACTTGGCTAGTCTCCTACATTTTATAACAGAAATCATTCATATAATGTAAAATTACTTGAAGATTCTAAGACAATGACCTCCCAAGCTATTCAATGGTGTCAAATAATCTTGTTTTAAGCAAGTTGTAATTTTGAAACAATTACTTTAAACTTGGCTAAAACATGTGCAAATGAAACAGTGCATTCCTTATTGTAGTGACAAAAATCAAACATGTACAGGCAGATTACTTTTTATTTTGGGGCCACATTTGGTGATGCTCGGGGCTTACTCCTGGCCTGGTTTGGGGGCGACATGAAGTGCCGTGGACTGCACCTGGGTTGGCCGCATGCAAGGCAGATGCTCTGCCGTTGCACCATTTGTCCAGTCCCCTAGGCAGGTAACTTGTATGAGCAAAATGACAAATGACTGGGTAAAAATGGACTAATAACTAAAACATGCAATCCATTTTAACAGTCTATCTTTGATTTTTATTATCTCAGACGACACAGAAACAGGAATATTTTTCTTAGCATGGTCAACAAGTATCACAATAAATGTTAACAATAGGGCTTTAGCACTGAAGCTGATGCAAGGGGTTTATGGTCCCCATAAAACCCCTAAAGGGAATACAAGTCTTATCTCACAGGAAGCACAGCTCTAAGTCAGGCTCAGCTAACTGCTCCCGTTATGAATGCGGGGTTGCCACACTGAAACCCCACAAAAGTTTTACTGTAGCTGGGAAAATCATTGGTTTTAGTATCAATTTTTACTGTCTCAACTTGGAACATTCTTGTTTGATGTATCTGTATTTTTGAAACACCTACTAAAATAGCAATCCATAAATGACTATAATTCTATAACCCTGTAACTGAAGGAAATCGATATTAATGCCTACATCATCAATCCATTGTTTGGACAGGTAGTTTAACTTCTCTGATTTTGAGTTTCTTAAGCAAAAAATGAGTTTGGGTTAAATTATCTCAAAAAAAAGAAAAAGCCCATGATCTCTCAATCGAGGTACTTCTTTTGGTCATTGTAAAGTGACCAAACCCTCAGGTTTAACATTTTGTTTATCGTGAAAATGTAATTTCCAGCAAAGGACTAATTGAAATAAAACAAAAATCTGCAATAGAAATTAAGACGTTAAAACACCATGATACGATCTCACCTAAAATTTCATGGCATAATTCTTGGTCTTTTGGAGGGTTTTTTTTTTTGGCCACACCTGGTGGTATTCAGGGGACTGTATGTGGTTCCAGGGATAAAATGGGTCAGCTGCAAGCTATGCAAGCACCTTATTGGCTGTACTAGCATTCAGGCCTATAAATCCTTTCTGAACAATGAACATTGGCAATGGGGAGTTAAAGAATCATTTCAAGCACTTGGTGTGGTTATTCCCTCAATGGTTTAGCATTATTTAAAAAATTTTTTTAATTGAATCACCATGAGGTATTTATGATTGAGTTTCAGGTGCACAATGTTCTAACACCAATTCCTTCATCAGCGTTCACTGTCCTCCACTAATATCCCATTTGCGGTCTGTCTTCCAGGCAGCCACTTTCCCCTCCACCATGACCCTAGTGTTCCCTTCTCTAAGTATTCCCTTCCCCCGCCCACTCCGCACCACCCTACCCCAGTAGTAGCAAGCTTTCTACTGATCAGATCTGTTGCTCTTTATTCCTATTAACGTTTATTCTTTAGCCAAAATAGATCATATGTCATTAAATGAGAGAGTTCTAAAGGACTGCTATGTTCATAGCAGCCTAATATTAATGGTGCCAGTTCACTGCAGGGTTTGTACTATTGGTCCCTCTTTGCCTAAATTACTTTATCTTACCAGTGTGTGGTTACTGAAGTATACACATTACAGATACTTATTTTGCCCCACATCTTCTGTATTATTTCCGATCCTTTCTGTCTCCTGCCCCCGTGCCTGGTTGTCCTCGCCGGGGGCCCCTTGGAGGGGAGCGGGTTGAGTTTCCCTCCCCGCCCCAACCAGGGCTCCAGCAGCTGAAGACCTCCAGAACCAGCCACCACCACGCTGAGACCACTCTCCACACGCATGAAGGTACCGGCAGAGGGACAAAGGCATGCGGGTCCCGGGGCTGAGATCTCCAAGCCTGCTCGGATCGGGGCTGAGCATCCTCCACCCAGATCCTCTAAATTCCAGTAGGCAGGGGTCACACCCACCAACTGGCCCCCTGACGCCGTGTAATCCCATCTTTTCTGTAGAATAAAAAAAAAAAAATCTAGTAACATGTTTCATGAATCCCTGGGGTTAAAACTCTAATGAAATGTATTTAAGAAAAAAAGGGCAACTACTTTTTCTCTTCAATAGTTTAATTCTATAAAAACACAGGACATTTGTATTCTATAATGATCATTTTGTTTTTGTTGAAAGCTATACCAGAAATTAGAACATCTTTTTCACAGATCAAGTACATTCAAGTGAGCTCTCACATTTTCATTACCATCTTTATAAAACTGAAGTTCTTCAGATTTTCTCATGCAGGTTAAGAGGGTTATATCACTTAATCATCAAAATACCCACTATGCCAAAACCAGACACTTTGAAACAGTCAAGTATCTTCAATTTAATGTATCTGGCCAATATCCAATGCTATGAATAACTTAAGAACCTGTAATTCTACAAATCTTTCAAGACATATTAATAACATCAGATGCACAAACTACTTTATTTGAAATGTAGCATTTTGGCAAGAAAGTGATCCTTAACAGTTTGACTATGATTCAAAACCAAGTATAAAATACCTTTATTTTCTGTTTCTTAGTACACATTTTTATAATTTTAAAAGTGCTCTCCTGATTTCCTAGGGTAAGAATTTCTAAGACTTTTCTTGGATGAAGAGTTAAGAATTCACTTTGTAGAACATCACCAAGACATTTAAAGGAACGGCATCTTTTTCACCACTGTCTCCTTCACAACACTATGAAAAAAAAAACCAAAAAACCCACAATGCTTCTGCACACAAATCCTCAGTAAATGTTCACTAAATTTAACTGGAGAGGATAAATGGAACACACAAAACAAAAAATATAAACACTGTGCAATAGTTACATAATTTCAAAGACAAGAATAAGTATTTTATTCAATGAGGTAGATAAAAATATTCAAAAGTAAACTTAAAAAGTAAAGCATTTTTCAGAAATGTCCTCATATTAGGGATTCAAAATGTACCTCTGAATTTATGTGGTCAATATTAAATGTTTTCATAATTCTCAGATAAGCAGTCTCCATTGTTTTTCAATTTTGGGGGACAGGGGCACACCAGATGGTGCTCAGGGCTTACTTCTCGGTCTTCCTTCACAGGTCATCCCTAGCAGTGCTCGGAGAACCAGAGAACCATAAATAGTGCCGGGGACTGAGCCCGGGTTGGTGGCATGCAAGGTAAGAGCCCTACCTGTTCTATTATTATGCCGGCCCCTCTAACCAGTTTTTAATGTATATTATCCTTAGTAAAGATTCTTTTTTAGTCAAATAACCACTAAAAAAATAAGGCAAAATAATTAATTTTATTTCTTAAATGCTTATTTACAAAGATAAAAATTTCCGTGCATTATATAACTTAAAAGGGACTTTCCCATTTATTAACAATTAAAGGCTTAGAAAATTTACTCATGAAGAAATTAATGGCTTATCAAAAAGAAGTCAACTATTATTAGCTCAAAACTTTCTTGTAATCACGAATAGTCAAGAATTCCTTCATTTACTTCCAAAACTATACTTGTCAGGTTTTCAGATTTAAAATCTCATTTTGGTGCAGGAAGATTTTACTCGATAGTCACATAAGGAACGGGGCTTTTAATTCACGGTTTCATTATGGTCCATCATACAAAGATATAGTTTCATGAGCGTTACATGATGAGGAGCTAGCAAAAGAAATACGCGGCAGAGGGTAATTGCCAATTAAGCATGCACCGAACCAACAAACTATTTTAGAATGCAGTAAGGCTTTGATTATTGCCAGCTTTTTGATAACGTTCCGGTCCTTAAAGGTCACTGAATTTTATAATGATCTCCAAACATTTCTCTTCCTGGTCATTTAAGCTTTGTCTAAACAGCTGGGTATGCTGCCATGCAACACCACCATCTCCTTGGCTTAATTCTGCTTCCAGAATAACTTCAGTGGCACCAGAAAAGTCCTGATACGTGTGAAGAGTTTTATCTGTTGGGAGGGAAAAAAAAACTTTGTTTTTGATAACTGAAGGAATGGAAAGAGTTTGAAATTCTTTTTATACACCTGATTTGTAAGGAAAGATCCTTAAACTGTACTAATTATTCATTATGGAGGAAATGCTTCCTTTCGGACGAAAGAATATTTCCTTTCTCTTAGGATTTCACAATAAAAAAAACATAAGCTCTTCTATAACAATAAAACTACACAGGTTTAAATTAAACTTTAATTCCGATAACTTTTTAAGTTTTCTTTCTTTTTTACTTTTTTATGGAATAACTGTGAGACAGGCCATTGCAAAGATGTGCACAATTGGATTTCAGTCATACAGTATTCCAACACCCATCCCTCTACCAGTGTACATTTCCCAGTACCAGTGTCCTCAGTTCCCTCCAATCACCTCCCACCTCCTGCCTGCCTCTATGGCAGGCGCTTTTCTTCTCTCTCTCTGCCCCCTCATTTTTGGCATCGTGGTTTGCAATATCGATACTGAAGGGTTATCGAGAACAACTCTTTACCTACTTTTAACTTTTAGATCTTATAAAAGGGCTTTTCTTTTTTATTGCAAACATACAAATACGTTTTGAGAGTGAATAAATTCAATACTTCCCCAGTTATCAAGCACACACTTTACAATAATAATTGTCCAGTAATACGCTTACCTCCTGTAAGTTCTACTTGTGCTGAATTAGATCGCATTTTCCATTGTATTTTTCCAGTCTGAAAGGTTTGGCTACTTGTTTTAATGGAAATGCTATCTACTTTCAAGCCAAATGCTCCACACTCAAACTTCCATGAAATATACGCATAAGAAGATCCTTCCTTTCGGGCTAAATACACCTACAAATTAAGAGAGGTAAAAAGACTCATCAGAAATAGTAGTGCAGAAAACACATATAGTTATAGTTGAAGTGTAGCATTAAAACCAAAACTTTTACCATGTAAGTTTTTTTTTTTTTAAGGTTCTGGGCTACATGTGGCATTTCTCAAGGGATCATATGAGGTGCCAGAGATTGATCTAGCATTGGCTGCAAGCAAGTACATTAATCCCCGTAAAATCTCTCTGGCCCAGTCATCAGAAGATTATTACTGACAACATTTTAAAATTTTGTTAGGGGTTTTTCTTTTTCTTTTTGCTTTTTGGGTCACACCCGGTGATGCACAGGGGTTACTGCTGGCTCATGCACTCAGGAATTACTCCTGGCGGTGCTCAGGGGACCATATGGGATGCTGGGAATCAAACCTGGGTTGGCTCCGTGCAAGGCAAATGCCCTACTTGCTGTAATATCACTCCAGTTCCAGCAGTTTTTCTTATAGTTTATGTTTGTTTTAGAGCAAGGCTACTTACACTTACTTATTCTATTAGCAACCCCTTTTTGCCCAGGAAATTCTTTTTTTTTTTCCCTTTATTATATTTTATTTTTTTTTAAAGTTGTAGATTTACAATTTTTTGTGCTTTGGTTTCAATTATACAATGATCAGATACCCATCCCTCCACCAGTGCCCATTTTCCACCACCATGGATAATATCCCTCCCACCCCCATCCCCCCATCCCCCCTGTCTCTGTGGCAGGGCAATCCCCTGTGTTCTCTCTCTCCTTTTGGGTGTTGTGGTCTGCAAAAGAGGCATTGAGTGGCAAACATGTTCAGTCCATAGTCTACTTTCGACATGCATCTACCCTCCTGGGAGGATCCTCCAAACATCCTTTATTTGGTGCTCCATTCTCTCTCTGAACTGCCCTTTCCTCTAGGATACCCGGCTGGCCTCTAAGTTATGGAGTAATCCTTGCCCAGGAAATTCTGACGTCCATCCGAGGTATACAGACATCAAAACCAGGAAAACAAATCTAACATCTGCTGATAATAAATTAATTTAAAACAGTCTTCACATTTAGTTATATAATCCCATGTGGGGTCATGACCCCACTTATGAAGCTAGGTCTTAGTGAAAAATATTATTTGAATGCTATGCCCCAGTAGCCCAAATGGCACGTACTATCCAATATTTGATTCATCATACTCTGAATATATCCCACTTTACAATGAACTTTACAGGGAATCCTTTTAAATGTAATTTATTCCCCAATTTATTTAAGTTTGGATTTTCAGATAAGTTTTCTTTCATAGGACAAAAAGCCCATGTCATAACTAAATAAAAAACATTTATATATGCATTTAGGTTTATAAGCCACACACTGCTGTGCTCAGAAACTCCTGGCTTTGCATCCAGGGATCACTCCTGGTGGTACTTAGGGGTCCATTATGTGGTGCCAAGAACCAAACTGGGACTTGCTGCATGTAAGGCAAGGTCCTCGGCTCCTGTATTCTCTCTGAGTCTGACCACTTTTAAGGTCTACTAAAGGCATCCAAGTTCACACTGGCTGCTTGTCTCCTCTCAGTTTCAATTACATGCTTTCGAAATGTTGACATGAAGTACTGCCTGGCAACCTCAGTCAGATGAGCCTGAGACTCTTAAAATGATGACATGAAAACCAACATACACACGTTGGTCTTTCAAGATCATTCTATTCACCCGCCTCACCCAAGAATCTGAATTTTGAATCAAATTCTCAAGATAATCCATACATTTCTTTGAAATAAGTTCTTCACTCACCTGACATTTTGCATTCCACAACAGTCAAATTAATGCTATTTCTTTTTTTTATTGGGGGTGGGGTGGGAGGTTCCTAAGCAGATATCAGGGGGCCTGGTGCCGCAAAGGACCAGTGGTACCAGGGTCCACCAGGGGCACAATAGCAATGATTTCCTTGTCATCTGCTCGGGGCCTAGTATAGTGTCTCTCTCTTGTATTAAACCCAACATCTTTTGTTTTTGCTTTAAAAATCCTCTAGAAAAATAAATCATTGTTGGCATTTTATTTATATCTGGCAACCGATATTTTTTTTCCCAGGAAAAGAAATGGAGTAAGAGTTTTAGAATAGGCTCCAGAGAAAGAGTACAGCTGGTAGGGCGCTTTGCCTTGCACATAGCCAACATGGGTTCAATTCCTGGCATCCCATATGGTCCCCTGAGCCCACCAGGAGTGATCCCTGAACACAGAGCGGGAAGTAATCTCTGAGTACTACTAGGTGTGGCCCCAAAACAAAAACCAAATAAAAATACCACCACAAGTTTTTAGAATGAGCTACAGATTATAGAATTAAGCAATCCTTCACGGAAAATAATTTGAATTCCCCAAACTAGGTATGTATAAAGATTGCTCCCAGTGACAAGTTGAGGTGTAGGGCACTGTGAGATCTGTGACTATTCACCTTACACTCAGGGCAACAATGATATCATTTGATAAATATGTGGTTCCTTTTGTAATTGTTTGGAACAAAAACCTGGGCTCAGATTTGCATCAATACTCCCTGGGAGTCATTAGCATCACCTACGCTAAATGACTAGGCACCAAGGGGTTCTCTAAAACTTACTCTGTTAAAGGAAAAGCTGGTAAAGGGAATGAATTGGAAAAGACAAGTCAATCAGAATACTACTGGAGGGTGGCTGGAAGGAACTAAAGGAATAGAGGGAAATTCTAATCTGTTTTAATATGTACTTCTGGGTCTTTGGGAGGGGGGCACAGCTAGTGATGCTTGGGGTTACTTCTGGCTCTGCATAAGGAATTATTCCTGGGGGTGCTTGGGGCACAACATAGGATGCTGAGGATGGAACCTGGGCCAGTTGTGTGCAAGGTATTAATGCTTACCTGCTATACTATTGCTCTGGCCCCAATAATTCCTTATTGTATATGTTTTCAGAGCTCAGCAGTTTCAAATGTTCACCCAAATGTGTGGGTATAAAATATGGTAGGCGGCTGGAGAGATTACAAAGATTGAACTTTTTTTTTAAAGTATGTGGCTGCCAGTGTGACTCTGGCTCCTAGGACCCTAAGCAACTCCTGAGCACTGCTGGGTAAGTCCAACAAAAGGAAACCAAACAAAAAGCCTCCCATACCCAGCAACAGGGAAAAAAAAAAGACAGACTAAAGTAATTTTAACTTCAAATGTGCTGATTATCCCAAGAACAGCCTTCATGATTACATATGGGTCTTGGGCACATAAGAACTAAAGATTATTTTTTTAGTTCTAAAAGCATCAACTTTTAAGACACTAAAAAGTTAAAAATAAAATGGAATTCACTGAATTATCAATCTTAAATATTCAGATTTCAAGGAACCACAATTTTATGCTAAACCAAACCATAATGTTGATATAAACAGACCCTACTAAATAAAAAATTTATGTCCTCTCTCTCAATTTAACGCCATAAAATTTTATTTTGGGGGCTTCCCCAGTAATGTCCAAGGAGCTGGGGCCCATACCTGGCAATGTCTAGTCCAGCAGTATAAAAGACTGGCTGCCTGGTGTTTGGATGTGGCAATTTGGTGCTGCTCATGCCTGGCAGGGGCCCACCAGCGTCACACCAGCACAGTTGTATGAGTAGGGCCTGTGCTCAGGCGTGCTCTCCAATCCTTAAAGCTCCTTCCTTGGTCCTCTGCAGAAAAGTAACCTACAGATTTTATTTCTTCTTATTTGCAGGTGGGGGGGAAGGGGTTGTTTCACACCTAGTGGTGCTCAGGATTTAATCCTGGCTGTGCTGGGGGGCCACATGCAGTGTGAGGGACTGAACTGGGGTCAGTTGTTTACAAGATAAAAGTACCTTTATTTTTTGTGTGGGAGTTTACACCTGACTATGCACTCAGGAATTACTCCCAGTGGTGCTCAAGGGACCATTTATAACAAGATAGCAGGGATCAAATCAAGGCAAGTGCCCTAGCTGTTCTTTCTCTACAGTCCACGATGTTAAGGGGTACTCCTGGCTATGCACTCGGGAGTGACTCTTATAGCATAGTGGTAGGGCGTTTGCCTTGCACGCAGCCAACCTGGCCAACCCGAGTTCGATTCCTCCGCCCCTCTCGGAGAGCCCGGCAAGCCACCGAGAGTATTGGATATGCCAGACAGAGTAACAACAAAGTCTCCAATGGAGACGTTACTGGGCCCGCTCGAGCAAATTTAATTTATATATTATATAGTCATATATATTTATTTATAATGTCATATATATGTATATTTTATGTTATATTTACATATATTAATTTATATACTATATATTAATTTATATATTATATATATTTATAATGTCATATATTATATATATGTGTGTGTATATATATATGGGCTGGAGCGATAGCACAGTGATAGGGCGTGTGCCTTGCACGCAGCCAACATGGCCGACCCGAGTGCGATTCCTCCACCCCTCTTGGAGAGCCCGGCAAGCTACCAAGAGTATCTTGTCCGCATGGCAGAGCCTGGCAAGCTCCCTGTGACGTATTCGATATGCCAAACACAGTAACAACAAAGTCTCCAATGGAGACGTTACTGGGCCCGCTCGAGCAAATCGATGAACAACGGGAGGACAGTGACAGTATATATATATATATATATATATATATATATATATATATAATAGCCCACTATGCACCCAACTGGCCTAGTCACTGGGATGATAGTTAAGTATGCTAACACTGACTAGGATATTGTTATTTTGTGTGTGTGTTTTTTTGTTTGTTTGTTTTTTGCTTTTTGGGTCATACCCAACAATGCTCAGGGGTTACCTCCTGGCTCTGCACTCAGGAATCACTCCTGGTGGTGCTTAGGGGACTACATGAGATGCCGGGGATCGAACCCAGGTCGGCTGCGTGCAAGGCAAACACCCTACCCGCTGTGCTATCGCTCCGGCCCTTGACTAGGATATTGTTAAGGGTTCAAGAACTATAAACTGTAAAGCATTGATTGTGGGGCCAGAGAGATAGTATGGGGGGTAAGGTGCTTCCATTG